AGCTTGTCTCATGGTAGGGTTGATAGATGGTTTGGTCCATGCACCAAAGGATCTAAGAAGCCCAAAGTCTCAGATGTGTAGATTTTACACCCAGAAAGGAAAGGACTTTCTTTTTTCTAAATTCAAGAATGTTTTTTAATCTTCACAGGTAGATGTGATTTCTTTTCTACAGATTAAACACTTTTAGGGTTGCAACAGAGAAGCCGACAGAGAGGGAAGAAATATCCTAAAATCAGCACTTGGATACTGGTAAAATTATTGTTGTTATAATTCACGTATTTCAAGTGTACTTATTTTTGTTTTCCTTCAAAGACACAAAGATAAATGGAGGAAGTTTCTTGTTTTTGTTTTAAAGTCTCAGTAGGTTTTCATTGACTGCCTTTCGGTGGTGGGAGATGCTAGTAGTGGTCCAGCCGAGGGTCTGTGCACTGTAAGCACATGTTCTACCACGACTAAGCTACACATTGCTTCTAAAATAATTTTATAATGGTGATGATCATAACAGCTAACACTCATTGGGTATTTAGACATACAAGGCATTGTTATAGGGATTGTATATTAATAGCAAGATCATTAAAATCCCAGGAAGTCAAGGAAGAAATATGAAGAAAACAACATAATACTGAAGATCAGGAAAAGTGACTCATGACTGATGTTTATTCAGCTCATATGTATCTAATGATTTAGATATAATAATGTTATCAAGTGAAAGATTTAATAATTTAGAAAAATATTTTTATTTCATGACAAAAGTATTTAACTTCTTAGTTTGGTTCATTTTGTTGGGATTTGGGGGTTTAGTAAAGTTTTACTTTTACTATCTTTTTAAAGATAGTGCTTTGCAATTGAATGTGTCACAATGTCTTGATGTTACCCTATCTTTTTTGCTTTAGTTGTGAATAGCTCCATCTTTCCATTACTGTGTTTTATAAAGATATAACTATGCATATATGAATATGCTATGTCCATAATGTGATTTGACTGAATTCAGCAGCAAACTTGCCAAACAGGACTGCTCTAATACTTTTGGTAATGGGTGATTAGAGGTTTATTTTTGTCTTGTTTTTGCTTTTTGAAACAGAATCTCACGATGTAGCCCAGGCTGACCTTGAAATAGCAATGTAGTTCAGGCTAGCCTTGAATTCTTGATCCTCCTGACTCAGCCTCCTGAATGCTAGTATAGGCATATACTAGCATGTGGACTCAGTTTCTAATTGGACTCCTCCTTTATCATATTGTGTAACTTTAGCAAGTTTCTTTAGACTATTTTTTTTCTCAGTTTTTTTAAATATATGGATTGGGAATAATTACTTTGTAATGTAATTACAATTTTCTACTAGCAAATTGATATTTTAGCTGAAACTACTTCTGATTTAAATGCTGCAATTACTGGTGCTGTACAATCAATGACAGAATCAAAGTTGCTGAATATATAATATTATATATTATTTTCTTTAAAATGCTTTCTTGAATTTTCCTTAATGCTTATATGGAATACATTATAATAGGTTTCTATTTTTAGTTTTACTCTTGACAAAGGAGAAATGCACTTCTAAATTTATATAACAAAGTCGAAAGGATTTAAAATAGAATAGACATGGATCCTAGTACCTGAAAACGCTAATTACTAGCTCTGTGACCTCAAATAAGTTCCCCAACTGTTCTGAGCTCAGATTCCATCACCACCACCACCACCACAAAAAAAAAAAAACAAAAAACCCTATATTTTACTTTCTAGAGTTAGTGTAAGGGGCAAAATAAAAGACTGCAAGGGTAGGGGTATATCAGGTATCTACTTCTCCAAAAAGATGAGTTAAATGACTGCTTCCTAAGAAAATATCACTAACAGGTGAAAGGTCCTCGGTTTAAACCAGAAAGTGACCATTTTTAGAAAGCTATTTAAAATAAGGCACATTATTAAGATATTGATAGAGTTTAATAAAACTAAGAAACAGCATTCTCACAGAAAACATAAAATAGTGGCTTATTCAAATTAAGGTATTTTCACCTGCTTGTAAAAATAAACATTTGTAATATAATTCTGAGCCAATTATGAAAAAAAAATTGTTGCTATGAAGACCTCTGATCTTTTTAATTAGCAAAAGAGTGAGGGTGGTAAGAAACACATCTATTTTGTACATTACTCTTTATCTGGTATCAGTGAGCTGGCCATAGTGAATGCCCAATAAATATTTGTAGAATGAATTGTGTAGAAAGTTATGGATTTTTGATTCAGAGAGATGTGGTTTGAATGATGGCTATATAGTAGAAAAGTAGTACATTATCTCTTAAACTTAGGATCGAAAGAGGCCTGAAAAAGACCTGGCACATGTATTAAGACATGTTTCCCTCAGTACTGTTCATACTTCTGTTAGTTTCATAATTTATATGTTAAGAGCAAATGAAAACAAATAGCACTCCGAATGACCTGATTAATAAACTGCCATATGTATTTTAACTACACAGAAACTGAACATGCAGCCATTCCTGCCTGATAAATCTTGGGCTGCTGTGCCAGCAGAGCAGCATAACTGCTCAGGAAACCCAACTCCTGCTTCAAGGCTTTTCAAAGAAGGCTGCATTACTTGTTCGGTTTTTCTGCACATGGCTTTTGACTGCCTTTTTAGCTAGTGACCCTGGATGTTAACTAATGAACTCCAGCTGTTCTTATTTTGCCTTCCAGTCCTTCTAATTTAACCTCCTGTGTCCTTGGCCTCACATCCTTAGAGTTCTTACAGCAAAAATGGGACAGTGCCAACGTTCTCAAATGAGGCCTCACATCCACTTGAGGAGAGAGGGCCTTTATAACAAGGGCTCCAAACTCTTACACCAGTAGAGAAAGAAGCATTCATTGTTAGAAACTGGAAGCCTAACAACCTCCAATGTGTCAAAAATCTTTTTGTGGTTTTCAGTATTGTACAAGCAAAGCTTTCAGTAAAGGGAAGTCTATAAAACAAAGGGATGGAGTCTGCAGTTAAATACTAAATGTAATTGTAAACGCCTGTGAGGGAGAGGCAGCTCCCTGCTAAATGTGCAATACAAGAAACTTTTAGCATATGGAATGATACAGACCCAGCTTTTGTGAACCATGCTGAGAGCCATCTGTTAGTAAAATTGGTAAAACCATCAAATGTCAACCTGAAAAACTTGGCTGTGAGCAAAGCCCGAGAAAAGGCAAACTTGAGCTCACACAGGATATAGGGAATGAGGTGCACCTGGGCCTAGGTACCCTCCCCTTAGGTGGGCAACTTGGGAACTTCTGTTGTTCAGAAATACTCTTTACTCTCCCCACATATATGTTTCTGTATGTGGTCATCCTTTCATGGAAATTACTAGTAAGAACATCAGTAAATGCAGCTTCTATTACATTAAACACTTAAAATCATGTGTCACCCAGAGTGCACCTGATCCTACTAGGATACGCTCTGGCTAAACTGATAGCCATTTGGCCCTTTTACTCAAATTCAAAACCATTTATTTCCCAGGGGCTCTAAAAGACTTTTAAAAATGGCATCAAATTAAGTTATAAACTTATTTTCTAAATTGCTTTTTCCATGCCTATTTGCATAACCTATCCTTCTAAGCTCAGTTCAAAATTCATTTGGCTCCATTAGGCACTAAAACAAACTTGTTCTCATCCTTGTGCATGCCTTTTATATATTTGTTACTTGAATTACCTGCTCTGTTAGGATTAAAACAACATAAAAGAACGATTGGGCTTTATGTTCTCATCCTTTGCAACATTCAGCAATGTGCTTTGCATATAGAATGTACTTGGTAAAGAAGGAAAGATAAATACTAAAAAGGGAGAGAAAGTGAAGCTAGGGAAAGGCCCTTCCTTTTTTTTTTCTTCCTGAAATGGATAGCAATCCCACATCACTTTAAATGGCTTATGTAATAAGCCATTTGATAAATTCTACTTTTAGCAATTTATTTTCACTATGTTGGCTTTTTGAGATTTTTAGTATAAATCACTTGTCTTGATGATCAACAAAGCATTACCAAGCAATAGAGCAAGAAGAGAACAGTTAGTATCTGAACTCTGAAAATAGACCCTGTGATAAGTATATATAAGAATATATTCTTATTCTTCTCATTCTCCATTAGCAGTAAACTGAATCTCAGAGAGGTGAACTGAGCCACACTAGCACCTTGCAGGCTTACAGTGCAGACCCAACTCCATCTCACCTACTTGCTCTACTGCCCAAGGTACAAAGAAAACATGGCACTACACTAGATGTACACACCTTCCTGGAGTTTTTCAAATACTATCAAATAACAAGGATGTTCAGGCAAATTCCCCATGAAGAATTAATATAATATTAAAATTTTCTTTCTTTTACATGACTTTTGGGCATTGATTGCATGGACCAAGTTTTAGCACCCAGCGTGGGGCCACCAAGCACATGGAAATTATCTAGTAAATTCGTTGAGTTCATAATCTCAGTCAAGAGATGCAACCATTTTGAATCTTAATATCCTAAAGAATAAATGATAAAATAACAGTATAAAAACTGTTGGAATACTGGAATCCATAAAATTTTGTTGGGTGTGGCGGTACATGCCTGTAAACTAGGCACTCAGGAGGCTGAGGTATGAGACTCTTAGCTTGAAGTCAGCTTGGGCTACAGACTGAGACTCTGTCTCAAAATAAAATAAAATAATTTAATATTAGTTCTAGCCCAGCATGATGGCACATTCCTGTAATCCCAACGTTCTAGGAGACTGAGGCAGGAAGATCAAAAGTTCAAGCCCACCCCAGGCAACTTGTAATTTAGCAAGGTCTTGCCTCGAAGTACAAGATAAAAAAAGTGGGGAACATGGTTCAGTGTGACAGTCCTGGCTCCAACGCCATGTATTACCCAAAAAAGTTACTTGTAGAAATACCAGAAACCAGATGTTAAACAAACAGACCTAATAAATTGTTTTCTTTTCTTTTTTTTCTTTTTAACCAAAGCAAGGAATCAAAACAGGTCTGGGTCCATTTTTCCTGTTCTTACCTTCCCGGATAGCTGTGAATGGGACTCCTTCCTCTGTGTTCATGCTAATGACTTTTAATGCCACCAGTTGCCCATTTATCCTAGAAAAGGGGGTAGAAGACATGGCACACATTTACAGAAACAGTTCAAAGCTGCAATTTTTACTAAAGATGGCTTTTTAAAAAGTTTTCCTTCAAAAACATAGTCTATCATTTGGATCTACAGTCCTCTCAAAACAAACCTACATCCCTCTCTCTAGTATGTAGCTAGCTGGTATAAAATGTATATACATAGATATACTACAAAACATGGTTTTCTCTTTAGTCAAGTGGTATGTGATCATTATAGAACATCTGGAGGAAGCAAATCCAGAGGAACCACCTCCTTTGTGCTACTCTGTGCCTATTGATCCTTTCCCTTCCTGTATACTTCTGCGACCATCCTCATTTCCCATCTGACTTCTCCCTGACACTCTCCCAGCTTCTATTTTCTATTTTCACATTCTATTTTCAGTGGGGTCTTGGGGCATCTTTATAAAAGGAAAATTAAAAAAAGGTCACTTCTCCTTCAAAACCCACTACTTTTCTACGTTTGACTCAGAATAACAGCGAGATTCTCCTACTGCCTCCAAAGTGTTGCCTGGTCTACCCAGACTCACCACAATCTCTCTACCTCCTCCCATTTTTTCCCTTATGCATCAGTCTTGTTCGTGATGAAAGGTAAGTGCTAAGAATGCAAGACTTCAACGCAGGGATATATGGATTGTTTTAATACAGGGGCGTTCCTATAATATTAGTAGACATCTATTCTTTCTCCTTTAAAATTTTCTTATCATTCATTCTTGTACAATGTGACATTTAACAATGATACAATGTTCCATCATATAAATATGCCACGATGTGTTTTGGCAGTTCCAAATGCTTGTAAACTGTTTCTAGCTTTTGGCTATTATAAAAATACTATTATGATCATATTTGTAGGTAAATCTTTTCACACAGCCCCAGTCATTATTTTCTTAGGGAAGATGTGCAACTGCTAAGTCAAAGAGTAATCAGCACACAGTTTTTATTGATTTGAACTCATGTTCCCAAACTGTTGCAGTAGTGGTCAGGAGAGTGGATACTGCACCACTCCCTGGCTAACATTGTTCAGAGTTACGAGTGTATTTTTAGATTTCATTTTTTAGAACATTTTTAGATCTACAGAAAAAATTAAGATGGTAGTATAGGTCATTCCCACATGTCTTGCATAGTTTCTTAACTAAAACTCATAGCTTATTAGGATTTCTTTAGTTCTTCTTACTTAATATCCTTTTTATTGTCTAGGGTTCAATTCAGGGTTTTATCTAGTTGTCATGTCCTCTTAGTTTCCTTGTGGCTGACATTTCCAGATTTTTCTTCACTTTTTTTTTTTTTTTTTTTTTTTTTTTTTGGTACCATGGGTCAACTCAAGACCTTGAGCTTTTGAGGCAGGTGTGGCACCACTGAGACAAATCCCCTCCCTTTCCTTGGCAGTTTTGAGGAGTGCTTTGTAGGATGCCTCTTGGAATTTTTCTGATCTTTTTCTTATGAGACTAGGATTATGAGTTCAGGGAATGTAAGCAGCCTTCTTTATTGGATCTAATTAAGGGTATATACTGTCATTGTAACTTACAGCTTTTGATGTTGACCTTACCCACCTGTCTGAAGTAACATTTGTCTGGTTCTCTATGATAAAATTACTTTTGCCCACTTCTGTAGTGTACTTTAGCATGAGTGTCACAATGAGAATCCATACTTAAGGATTGGAGAGCTGTTATGTACCTCTTTCTATATAAATTTTCTATATAAATTAGTTGGAATTTTACTGCCTGGTAAATTTATTTTTTCACTCTTATTATTAATTTATTGAATCGTTTGCTAATTTGTTTTTTAAGACAGGGTCTCGCTATTTATTTCATACTGGCCTTGAATTCTCTATGTTGCCCAGGTTGGTGTTGAACTTGAAATGATACTCCTGCCTCAGCCTCCCGAGTGCTGGGATTACCTGTGTGTACCACCACACCTGCCATAAACCATTTATATCACTATGAACTCATATTTTATTCTTTGTGTTATAATTAAATACATTATTATTATTATTATTATTTTTTATTATTATTATTTTGGACTGTGGATTGAACCCAGAGCATTCACACTCAGTTATATCTCCCCCCCCCGTCTTTTTTTTTGCAGTACCGGGGATCAAATTCAGGACCTTGTGCTTGTGAGGCAGGCACTATGCCACTGAAGTAAATCCTCAGCCTCCTTTTTTCTTTTTTAATTTGAGGTCTTGCTAAGTCACTAAGTTGCCCTGAGCAGGCTCAGACTTGCAATCTCCCTGTCTCAGTCTTCCAGAATGCTAGGATTACAACCATGCACCACCATGCCTAGCTCAATATAATTCTAGTTCTGAAAAAAAATTTTTTTTTTGACACAGGTCCTTGTGTTGCAGTTTGAACTGGTCTTGAACTCACTATGTGGTCCAGATTGGCCATGAAATTTCAGCAATCTTCCTGCCTCAGCCTTCTAATTGCTGGGATTACAGGTGTGTGGCACCATGCTTGGCTCTTATTTCAAAATTTTTGTAGGTTTATCTTTTGGAAGCTCTTTCTGCTGGCTTCATGTTGCTTTGCCATTCCCTCATCAATAAGAACTTATTCTTGCTTTTATTTTCACATTTTGGCCCATTTGATAGATTAAAAAAAAGACCATGTGTTAATTTCAGGTTTTTCCTTATAAAACTAAGTTTTCCTAAATTCATTGGTCTTTTCTATTTGTGTGTGTGTTTTGCTTACCTGGCTACCATTTTATTGAAATATTTTACATATACCTTTCACCAATTGCCTTCATTTTCCTTATTTTTTCTTTGAAGTATTTTTCTTTGTTTGATTTTTGAGTTAGGGTCTCGCCATATAGTCCAGGCTGGCTCATATTAAACCTCCAAGTCCTGGGAGCACAGGCGTGTGTCATCACACCCGGATGTCTCTGAAGCCTTGAACTTTAAATTCTTAATGATGCTCAGTATTTTTCAAAGTGTTTTACTTAGACACTGTATAAAGTTCTACATCCCTACAGAAAGTTTGTCAAATACGTTTAGAAAATGCTTTGAACTTAATCTTCTTAATCAGTCACAGCATATGTTGACTTTTTTTTTAAACACTGAAAGTCAGCCAGGCACAATGGTATATACCTGTACTCTCCTCTATGTGGAAAACTGAGACAGGAAGATCACAAGTTTGAGACTAACCTGGGCAACTCAGTGAGAACCTTTCTCAAAATAAAAGTAAAGAAGGGTTGGGGACATAGCTCAGTGGTAGCGCATACCTAGCATACGTGGGGAGGCCCTGGGTTCAATTTTTAGTATTGCCAAGAATACTATAAATATATAAAAATACTAAAATCTCTCTGTAATGAAGGATTGAATTTTATTTTGTGTTTTCCATACCAATTTGTCCATCAGTGTCTCAATGAAACATCTATTAAGGTGAGTCAGAATCGGGGCTCCCTGGCACTTACTTCAATAGGTAGAGCAAATGGATACGTCCTATCTTCCTTTATGTTACACGTAGAGTATTGCAGCCTAAAGGTTAGAATGAACTTACTTGTCTTTTCCTCTAGTTCTTTTATGTTTTCCCCTACAGGTTAACTCTTTAATCCACTATACTCAAATTATATATTTATTTTTTCTCCAAATGGCTAACAATTAACCCAGTTCTGTTTATTGAGCCATCTTTGCTGACTTGAGGTGCCACTGTGAATATATATTAGACCTTACTAATACCTGGATTTGTAATGACTTTGGTGGACTTTTCACAGTCCTATTTCTTTTATCTGTCTTTTCTTTTCTTTTCTTTTCTTTTCTTTTTTTTTTGGTACTTGGGGTCAAACTCAGGACCTTGCGCTTGTAAGGCAGGCGTGGTGCCACTGAGCTAAATTCCCTGCCCCTTGATCTGTCTCTTCTTATACTTGTGCTACACAGTTGTGATACTGTAGCTCAGGATATATGGTCAGCCCTTTTGTATCTGTGGGATCTGGATCTGTATATTCTACCAGCCATAGATTGAAAATATTTGGGAAAAATTGCATTTGTACTAAATATGAATAGACTAGACTTTTTTTCCCTTGTCATCACTCCCTAAACAATACAGTGTAACAACTATTTACATGGCATTTACATTGCATTAGGTTATATTATATACGGCATCACTTTATATAAGGGACTTCAGCATTCAAGGATTTTGGTGTCCAAGAGACTCCTGGACAAAACGCCCAAGGATTCTAATGGACCACTGTGTTTAGAGTACATTAAAATTTGAAGTCAAAGACTCACTGACATCTGTATTAGATTTCTGAATCCAAATTTCCTGTACTTAGTCCCTGGAATGGTCACGGGACAAGATCGTACGTGATTCCCGGACACACTCTGTCCTTTCCTCCGGCCCTCATCTCCTCCACTCACCCCCTCCAGTGTCAAGGCTGATTTTGCCTCAGTGACTTCTTTATTTGCTACCTTCTGCCCTACTCCAAGCTGCCTTCCACTGTCTGTTAGCCTGTTCCTTACTTCCTTTGGAGGCCCTATTTCCATATCTCCTTCCCAGTGAGGCCTGCTGAGATCATAGTCTACTCCCCAACTCTGGCTCTCCTATCCCTCTTCCCTGTTTTGTTCATTTATGATAAACTCAATATTTTTCTAAGTTGCTTATTGACTATGTCATCCTTCCAATTCCCCATAAAAGCAGGAATATTTGTCCCTTGTCCTCCAATATATTCTTATCCGCTAAAATATTGCCTGGTACATAATAAATATTATAATATAAAAATAAATTTTAGTAGAAGGAATATCTATTTGATTCTTTAAGTCTTTTATGTTCCTCAGAAAATATGTAGATCCTGACTTTTTAATGTAAATAATAACATTTTTATTGTTATTGTGAGAATAATTTTCCCTACTACATTTTTAAACTGGTTATTTCTAATGCATAAGATAATTTATGACAAGTATACATTGATTTTGTAACTGATCATCTTGCTGTTCTGTTATTACCTCTAATAGTTTCTTAGATAATTCCCTTAGGTACATTAGGGAGATAATACTGTAATCCACAAAAATTGATATTCAGCATTTTCTCTTTGCATTGCTCTACTTCTGAGCTATGCCCCTAGTCTTTTTTATTGTTTTATTCAGAGACAGGGTCTCACTAAGTTGCCCAGGCTTGCTGTGAACTAGTGATCACCTTGCCTCCTCCTGAATGGCTGGGATTATAGGCATGTACTAACATACCCAGCTAAGATAATTTTTATCAATAATGCATAAAGAACTTCCTTGCCCTAGTTGAAATTTAACAGTAATGCCCCTACTATGGAACAAAAAACATGTAAGCTGTTTATTTGAAATAGTCTACAACATAAATGATGAATTGTCATTCATTCTGTTCCTATTTTGTTTACAGTTTGTTTTCGCTAGTTTTTTGTTTTTGAGACAGGGTCTCACTATATAGTCCACACTGGTCTTGAACTCATTATGTGGCCCAGGCTGGCCTCAGACTCGTGGACATCCTCTTCCCTCAGCCTCCTGAATGCTGAGATTACCAGCACATGGCACCACACCTGGTTTATTTAGAGTTTTTAAAACTAGAAATTGATACTGAACTTATCAAATGCCTTTTTGGCATTAATCTTTATGGTATTTTGAGATGAGTTTTATGCTGTAAATAAAATGTCTTTGTGGTGGAGAATAAAATAAAAAGTTTAAGAGCGATCATTGTTTCTCTGACCTAGTTTCAACCACTAGAAGTAATATCTCTCTTGTCTATTTCTCCTGCCTCTTATATGTACACACAAATCTATATTTGCACAGTTCATCTGAGTGTATAAGAGGATACATATTGTTCTACAACTTGCTTTTTTCCTCTTAAAATACTAGACATCTTTTCATATTACTACATCTAGTCCATACATTAGACAACTGGGTACAATTTTATGTAGTTGATTACATACCTAGTCCAGTATTTATAAATATTTGTGACCAAGTTTTTATTAATTCTGTTATAAATCTTGCTGTAAGCATTATACCTTTACTTATTCATTTCTATGCACTTGAACAAGTATTTCTAGTGCACTTTTCAACCTCCTAGCAGGTTGGGTTCCTTGAAGAAAATCTTATATTCTTGGTTCCTAGGATAATCTACAGACATGAATTAAATCCTGCTTCTATTCAATACATTTAAAATTGTATTTACTTTACAATCCTGTTTTAACAAATAAAAATAATAACATGCAAACTCTAAGGTAAATAATGGTTCTTTTCTATTTATATTATATTTTAAAAATGAACTTTTAAACCAGGCATCAGTGGTGCATGCCTGTAATTCCACCACAGGGGAGGCTGAGGCAGGAGGATCACTGTAAGTTCAAGGCCACTCTGGGCTACACAGTGAAACCCTGTCTCAAAACAACAACAACAACAACAAACCAAAGAACACTTAACCACTATTAAATCATTGTTTTACTCCATTAGAGTAACATAGAAAAAAAAAAAGAATAGATTCTCTCTCTTTTTTTTTTTTGGTACCGGGGATTGACTCGGGTACTTGCGCTTGCCAGGCAGGCCACCGAACCGCTGAGCTAAATCCCCAGTCCCAAGAATAGATTCTCTAATTTTCCCACCTCAACTAAAATGCAATGGGATTCAATTTTCAAAGTGGGTATTTGGCTTTCGATTTAGGAATATTATTATTCTCCAGACATTTTGTATATTTTCTAAGTGTAGAAAAACAGGATTTATCATTTTTTGCATATCTCCTACTTCATTCACAGAAACCAACTTTAGTTTCTCCTCCTGAAGCCAGGGGAAAGAATGAGGCCGCAATCGCAGGAGGCTGTAGTTTAAACCTAAGTCACTGTCACTTAGGGAGGGCTGGGTGGGGTCTACACCTTACCCACAAGTGGGGATGGTTCTTTGGGTCAATAGTAGAGAAAATCCACCTTCTCTGACTCAAGCACAAGAGAAGAAAGGCTGATCAACGTTTTAGTGGGCTGATATTAACAGGAGCAGAGCAGGTTTGTTTTTTCTTTCAAGGCTATTTAAAACGTCATCGACTCCTTACTGCTCTTGTGTCCCAAACTCTGTGAACTTCTAAGATGCCTCATTCGGCCTTACATGTAAAACGGGGGGGGGGCTCTCATTTCTATAATCTCTTGCAGCTGTGAGTCACTCACCTGCTAATGCCCTTGTAAACTGTAGCGTAAGAACCTTCCCCCAGCTTCTCCAAGTTCAAGTAGGACGAGGCTGCACCAAACGGGAGGCTCTTCCTCTGCTTAAAGGGATGAGGAGGGAGAAAGAAAAAGCACTTTTTTATTGTTGACCTTTTTCCACCCCAGGGAAAAGACAGCCTCGCCAGAGTGCACGTGGACCGTCAGAGCCAACCTCCCTAGGCGCTCACACACTGAATTCTGGACCAATCTCAGCAGCTCACTCACCCACTGAAAACCTTGCCTCAGATTCTCTTCCTGAAAAGAATCGCTGTTACTCCGTGGCCTTTTACTCTTTAACTTTCCGGCCCTGACAGCCTGAAGTCCCCGGGGGTGGAATGAAGTCATGGAACAGGATGCTTCTTTTAGGTCCTTTAGCTGCAGAAAAAAGAAAGCACAAGAGTAAAATTTATGAAAGTCAAGATTTAGTGGTTGGCAAACTATTTTCCTGATTCTCTTTCTTCATGTTTTCTAATCTTCTTACACCCCCAAAAGCCACATTTCTGGAAAGTTAGATCCCTTGAAAAAAGACTATAATGGTATCAACTGTCGAAATGCATTATATCTGTAACTCTTAGAAGAATCTAAAACTCATTTTGCTGCATATTTTCCAAATTTTCTCTGTTTGACTATGGCTCCCCCTCTCTTGTTTACCTAAATTATTTTTAGGGGTTGATTTTCTAGTATGGTATTGCTAATAATCATGAGATAATTATTGAAATTTTGAACCTATGCTATACCAATACTACAGCTTGTCTTTTGTGGTTCAGCCCTGCAATTTAGTACCTTGGAGATTTCAAGAGAAGAATCACTCTCTGCACGTCAAGTCCAGGGAGTTCCGTACCTACAGTTCAAAGCCTAGCATTATTTCCCCCTTTGGGGTATGAGCCATCTCCACGTTGCACAGCTATCGTCATAAATTTCTGTTACCTTAATGGAATTTTCCTTTTTATGGGTTTAAGAATCAGACCTCGCTACAGAAGGGGAGCGTCCGAACTTCTCTGTTTGTCAATAGAGAAAGATGCTCCACCCGGACACAAATACCTCCAGCGCAGGCTCCATCGCCAAAGGCTGACCCCTCCGCCAGCTGCGCGCCTCTCCTCCCTCCGAGGGGTGGTAGCAGCTGCACCCAGGCTGTAGACTCTTTGTACACAACTCTTGACCCATAATCTTCCAGGTTCAAGGAGAAAACCTGCACTTGAACCTTTCCTCTTCTGCGTCTCCTCCCCTCGCTCAGTCCCTTTTCTACAGAGGTCAGCAGCTGGAGCTTTCTTACGACTCACATGAGGGCATGACTTCAGCAGTTTTTCCTGTCAGGCAAGGAGCTCTGCATTAGAAAGGTGACTGCTTGCCTGCCCGCGCGACTGAAAGCGAGGCGGCTGATACCGGATAGAGCAAAAATAAGGTTCTTATGACAGCCACGAGTGCACGCTGACGGTGTGCACACTTTTTATTAATGTGCTCTGCTTGTCCCTGTGATGGTGTTTACCTGACATTACTGGCAGTGAGACTCATGTTATTAGGATTCCGTGGTGCCGAATTGGAACGTTTTCCCCCTACATCTCATCTGAAAGCGTTTTGGTTTTCCTACTTTAAAGCAAATTTGCAACCTGACCAACTTGTAGTAGTCAAAGAAACCACAGAATATAGAGCAGGAAGAAAGCTGACGATGTTTACCCCTCCTGCCTCCTGGCAACAGGGGTGCATCCGTGCTGGAGGGGTAGTAATTCACTCCTCTCAGCAGCACCGAGAAGAGCACCTGTGCTGTCCTCACCTGTTCGCAGGGGTGGGGAGAGGAGTTATCAGGAAGTATCTTTGTGCTCCCTCCTCTCTTCTTTTCCTGTCCTTTGCTTCCACATAAACATGACTAATGATTACTGTATGTAAAGTACTATATTAGTATTTCACACGTCTAGGACTCTGACTCACACTGGTTTGTCATCTTTGGTCTTTGAACAGAACTTTTTCTCTGATAGCTGCCTAAGACTATTGCCACTATAATGTGCCAATCACAGTGTAAGAAAATTTCAGATATACATAGATACACACAGACACACACTTGCAAAATCATTACCAAGGAAAAATAAGAGTTATGTCTATTATCGTAGTATTTATAGATGTTTGATATCTGAGCTCAAAATCCTATTCTAAAAACTTTCATATAATTTTCTTATGAACATACATTTAAGTTTATTTTAAAATTACCAGAAGAAAAGAGAACCAAAATAAGCCAGTTCAAAGATCCACTCAAAGAGGGGTGTGGGGACACACACCTGTAATCCCAGTACTCTGAGAGGCTGAGGGAGAAGGACTGCAAGCAACTTAGTGAGACCCTGTCTCACAGTAAAAATATACAGAGGAATGGGAATGTAGTTCAGTGTGTGTGAAGGCCCTGTGTTCAATCCCCAGTACCGTAAATAAATAAATTCACTTAAATTGGGAGTGGGGGACTAATTACACTAATACAGAAAAAGGATAAAATACTAGGCTTAAAAACTATTAAAAATTTTAAGGTGGGAGTGGTGGTGCATATCTGAGATTCCATCTGAGGCAGAAGGAGGTTGGTTAAGTTCAAGGCCAGCCTGAGCAACACAGTGAAATCTCACCTCAAAAGTGAAAACAAAGGCAAACAAACAAAAACTATCAAACTTTTCAACTGATTGCTCCTGAAAGAGTGAGAAACTAATTTCTCAGCAAATATAATCTCATCAGAATCATTATATTGATTATAACATTTTAGCACTGTTGCTAATGTCTTCCTCAAAGAAGACTGTGAACTTTATCATATAAAGTAGATTCAACTCCTAGTGCGACAAAAAAAGAAAATGAAAGGAAGGAAGAAAAGAACCATATTTTAAAAAAATTTGACTGATTATTTATTTGTATTCCTGCCTACTTCGGACTAGTATGGGTAAGCCCTCAATAAAAGTGCAGCCATCACCACCACCACCACTACCACCATCATCATCATCATCCTCCTCCTCATCGTTGAAATGGCTACCATTCCTGCACTTATTCTGTACCAAGCTTCATGCTGGCACAAGACTGATGACCCTCACAATGGAATCTAGGCACTGGAACATAACAACTTGGTGAAGAAAAGAAGAAGAGAGGTAGATTATGGTACCCAGGAAGGATATGAAAGGAGAATTGGAACCCACAGGGAGGGTGAAGAGACAGACTTCAACACAGAAAAAGGAAATGGCAAACTGCATTTTCTCCGTGACTCCTGGCTTGCAGCATGAAGGAAGGTCTTGAATCTACAGAGACACAGCAAAGGCAGGTGGCTCCAGAGGCTTCCAGGGAGAAGCACATTACTGGAATGCAGGAGTGGTTGCTGTGTACTACATCTGGAAAGTGACTCCATTCCAGGCATCCCCTGCTTGGCCAGACACCATTTTAGGAGGGGTCTACTGAGCCCAGGACTTGGGGTAGTCATGGGTTAGCTTCATCTCAGGGATGCCAGTGACTGGGTGAGGCATGACCACAGGAGACATCCAGGGTCAGAGAGCTGAGGACAGTCTGGCAAGGGGCACCCAGAGTGTTTTAGGCTGAACAACTCAGGCCTCAACCCCACAACTAGAGGCCAGAATCAGTCTGAACTTCTGGAGAGTTGAAAGCACCAGAATCGGAACCCCATACTATTCCTACTGCACTCTTGCTAAGATTATCCAACACCTTTCCCTAATCCTACTGCAAGCTTGCTGGGATTAACCAGGATGGATCTGGGCTCTGCCTGCCTCCTTTGTCTACCAGTAACAACAGAAACATGCCCTGCATTGGAAATACTACAAAACTGTAGACCCCAGAAGATAATCACAGGCATGAAATCACAGAGAAATCTCTCTTTTTCTTTTCTTTGTGTATTGTTTTTTCATGAATGTAAATAGTTTCTAATTTTTTTTGTTTTGTTTAGTCCTTGTTTATGTATTTTCCTTCTTTCTTTCCCTCCTTTACTAGTTTCTCAAAGTTTAAGTAATCTTCCTTTGACATTCATCCTTGCTTCTAATCTCTTTCTCTTCTTTAATTTTCTATTTTCCCCTCTTATGCCTTTAAAAATTTTTCCCCTTTGGGGAAAATCACTCTTTTAAGGGGATATGTGTTTTAGATTTTGCAATATAACCATAAATCCTGTACTTATATTTAAAAGTGGCAAATTATCAATTATCACAGTGTCATTTTCTAGATTGTATTTGATGTGATTATCATTACTAATTGTACTACTTTAGCTGAGATGAATAGTTGTTCTTCTGAGATTATCAATTGTTCTTCTTTATATACCAGTATGGAGATAGGCTAGGGGTAATAATCATTGCCATAGTCCAGTACCAAAGAACGAGGTGCTAGATCAAAATTTCTAAACCCCAATAAATTGAAGAGGCAGGATCTTGGGCAGACTCAAAAGCCATAAAACAGCTACATCTAGAAGATATCTCTGAAAAGTAGTCATTTCCTGAGGAAGTTTTAATACTAGGAATAGAGCTATCTATCATAAGCTCTTTACAAGCATTAATGCAGAAAACAAATTAAAAAATAGAAAAATGAGAAGACATGGAGGCAAGATACAATCCCAGACCTGCAGCTTACCCAAGGTAAATCCAGTTAACATTGAGAGAAGAAATCAAAAGCCACCCAGATGAACTTTCTAAGATGGTAGTAGTGGAAGTATCAAAGCAGATGAATGAGATGCTAGAAAAAATTCAGAAATAATTTCACAGATAACGGTATGATAACCATAATGGGGAACATGGTTAGTGATTGTAGAGTGGATATAGACAAAAAAAAAAAAAAAAAAAAAAAAAAAGAAAAAAAAAAAAAAAAAAAAAAAAAAAAAAAGAGGCACTTAGGAAAGCGATGGAAATGATAAATGCCCAAAATAGGAAAGAATTGGATTTCATGAAACACATTCAAACCTATATCCAGGAGATTAAAATTAAAGTTTTTGTTGAAAATATATGCAGCAGAATCAACCAATGTGAGGACAAACTATCAGATTTGGAAGACAGGTTTGTGGTCAACGATCATCACATGAAAGATTTCTTAGAAATCACAAGGGATCACAAAAAAGTCAATCCAAAAGCTGCTAGATGATACAAAGAATAACAAGACTGGTCAGAATTAATGAAAAATCAGAAGATAGCACAAAGGACATAAAAAATATGTTCACCAAAGTAGTGGCAAAAAATTTTCCAAGTATGGCAAAAAGATTTGACATACAGATAGAAGAGGCCTATAGAACTCCAATTAGCCTTGACCAAATAAACTACACCAAGGAATATAATACTCAAGATTTCAGAAATTCAATACAATAACAGAATATTAAAAGCTGCTAGAGAAAAGAAACAAATCACCTATAACAGAAAGAATCACAGCAAACTTCTCAACACAAACTCTTTTTTTAAAACTTTTTTTTCAGCTTTAATTGAGTTTATTGGTACATTTTAGGGATACAGTACAGTTACATTCATTGTTGGGATCTTGTACCTCTACATGACAAGTTTTGATTCTCATTTTTTCCCCTTCCCCCTACCCTCCCTTCACCCCCTCCTCCCCTCCCCATCTACAAACACTTTATTTTCATCTTTTCATTATCTCTCATTTTTTTCTTTTTCCTTATTACCCTTCCCCTACCCATCCCACCTTCCCTACTCCTTTAGGTCCTGAATATCTTAAGATACACTTTTTCATGGATTTGCCGTAGTTCTCTATCATTTTCGAATTGTATTTTTTCTTGATACATCAGTGTAAGTTAGAAGTTGTTTGCTTTTAGAGCTTGACACACTTCACACTCTTCTGTTCTTTAAAATTGTGTTGAGAAGTCTACTGCAGTTCTAGTGGATTTGATGTTACAAGTGTTTCATTGCTTTACTATAACAGTTTTTAAAATTTTG